GAGCTTCACTGAGTGAGAAGTAGTGTTGAGAGCAGCAGACAGTTTCACTTTCAGTTTCACCCGGGAGCCTGCAGGAGTCATGGGCGGGATATGTGGGGAGGGGGGGCGGGCGCTCTGCCACCTGTCATTTTGCTCCTCAGCATGGCTGCCTAAAAACACTGCAGGATTTCTCAAACATGCATGAATGAGTCAAAGCAAGGCTTTGGGCATGTTTTTTTTATGAGAGTATAACGTTATAACATGATATAAAACTCAAAAAAGTTGATTTTACATGATATTGCCTCTTTAAGGACACAACAACTGAAATGGCTGGAACAGTGAATTGAACCAGCAACCTGCCAGGAACAGGACGACTCCCCTAGCCACTCCACCACAGTRGCCCTGATCTTAGAACGATATCTATGCAGCACTGGGAGAGACTAAATTCAGATTTTCTGCACTCCTAGAGACTCCAAGTACACAACAAAATGTTTTTAACAGCTAAAAAAGTGGATTTTGCACAATATGTCTTCTTAAAGCTTTATTTTTTACCACTACCCATTTTGACTTATTGTCTCGTTTTTCACCTCACCACTCCTATTCCACACACTCTCTGTGAACTGTACATCTGTCTGTAGCCCCTTCACTTTTTAATCCACTGTCATCAAGTGCTCAAAAAATGTCATTTTCTGAACCCCCTCAGCCCTCCCATCTTCATTAATGGCTCTCACTGAAACAGATAGTAAAATGCTAATGTCCCTATGAATCTTTAAAAAGCTGCTGGAAATTGGCCCCGCACATATGCTGGCGTTTTGACCCGGGCTCTGCTCTCCTTTCCCACTGCTGGAATCAAGATAAAGCCGCTTAACTCCTCCACTTGAAGAGTAATGGGTGCACATTAATATGTAAAAGAGTAAATACGCCCATTATCGATTTAAATAGCCGCTCCGTCGACAGTCACACATATGCTAAAGATGCATTATGTGCGCGGATTCTCCATCACCGTTATTAACCAGACTTTCAAACACAGTGTCTGTGGGGAGGCAGATTTATAAACATTTTTTTGGAAAAAAGTGATTAATATTTCAAAACTTTGGAAAGGATAACTTGGATATTTCTGTCAGTTGTCTGCTCGGGAAAGAGACAGCCGAGGGATATAAAAGAAAAGTCAAGGCACAAGTGAGCTGCGAAGTGAAAGATGAAGAGAAGATTTATGAGGAGCTGAAAAAAGTGGAGGTGAAAGACTGCCTACCAAAACACTGATGCAGAAAAATTCTACAGAAAACCAGGCAAGCTTGACACTTAAAGAAAATAGATGGTTTCTTCGAAAAAAAAAAAAAAGAACAATAATGCAACATTTTTTTCCTCTTCCTTCTCATGACTCTCACAGATGCTTCCTCGTATTGAAGGGTATCCAGCATGCACTATGTCAAAACTAGGTTGGAATTAAAAAATGTTGGGTTTTGTTTGTTCAATTTTTCCATTGAACAAGTCAATTTTATAGACTCCTACCTCCCAATAGCCCACTTATTTCAAACTCTTKGCATCCATTTTGTCAAAAAGTCTCAGATCCACATTGAAATGATCTTTCTTTTAGGTTTTTTTTCCATTTTGAATCTTAATGAGCCCCTTGCAAAACTGTGCAGAAAAAAGTTCATTGTGTGAAGTTTACTGTGAAAAAGTTCTTTGAACTCTTCAGTCTTTGCTGCTCAAACTGGCAGAATAAGAATTTACATAACAGTGACACCTAATTCTCAGCTATCAGTGAGCTGAGATATGGAAGAGGAGTGTTGTTTAGCTGGAAGAGGTTCTTCAGCCGCATTCACAACACGCATCTCAGGGCGTCTTAAATCGAACCTAATTATCAGAAGATCTGCTGTACGACCTTTCATTTAAGCAGCAAATCTGCGTCCTGGTCTATCTTTTAGTGGGAGTTTGATAAATGTCCTTACCTGATTTGGCTGATTCTAGTTAGTGGCAACAGAGTTTTATTGTTACTCAATTAAAGCGATAGTTTAGGTCTTTAGTATTTGGGTTCTGTGGTTTTGGCAATTAATTCAATCCAATGTATTTATAAAGCCCATTAAAACTCCTCCAAGGGAATAAAGTGTTGTTCAAGACAACAAACACTAAACAATAAAAGAGAAAAAGAATAAAATTAAAGAATTAAACTGTTAAAAACACTTAAAAATAAACACCCTAAGATGCACTGCTAAAGCCCGGGCCCCAATTACTATCTTAGCAGCTGTATAAAGCTTTTTGGACTAATAAAGTTTATTTTGGATTGGACTGATGAGCTASTGGCTAGTCCAGGTGACTTCCTGACCAAAGTGGATTGTTGCTGTCATCTGGGGTCATTCAAATAACTGTCTACAGCAGGTGCATCATTAATTGTTCATATTTCTAACTGAACAGCTTTAAAAAATATTGAGCTCTTTTTTAACCTTTTATTGTCCACTAATACAAAAGCAATAAAAATTAATCTTATTTGCACATTTTATTCTTATAGAGCAATACTAATAGTAATGCTAAACATTTTATTCAGCCAACCCCATAGTTATTAGGTTTTCATTGATTTAATTTTTTTTGTTTTTCCAGTTAAGTTTACATTTCAATTTCAGTAAAATATAAGGACTAAAACATGCTTTGAATGGTTTCCTAAAGCAGCCATTTAAATGTTAACAAAATACAATTGATTCCAATCATTGCAATCCATTAATCTCTTGTCRGTTTTGTCATTTCGATGTTCATGTCTGTTGCGCTGTGTCCACACAGTTTCTTTTAAACTTTGAGCTTTTGCTTCTTGTTTTTTTTTTCTTCCTGCTTCTCATTCACCATCCATAGCCTGTCCCAAGCCCATCTTTGCCAAATTATGGTAGCAGAGAGGCAGCCACTACCAGGGTGGTGGGCCCTGCCTGCTTGGTAAGCGCAAACCTTGAAGTGTTGAGTCTGAACTGGATTATAGATCCAGAATAGTGGTCAGCATGGGGTGTGTATATGTGTGTGTGAGATTTGCCGCCTTGAATCAAGCACGTCTGAAAGCGAGTTTGGCAGCATTTAGTATGCGAGTTTGCGGTGCCTTTCCCCTCTCCATGCCTCCTTTTTTATAGGTTTGTCATTTCWMTGATGCTCTGATTTCKATGTCTGTTTTTCTGTTTCCTCGTCCCTCTTTAGGGATTAAAATCAGCTAAAAGCAGACAGCAAAAATTCCCTTGTCTCCAGCTACATGAAAGGAGAGACAATTCTGGTGTGTGTGTGTGTGTGTGTGTGTGTGTGTGTGTGTGTGTGTGNGTGTGGTGTGTGTGTGTGTGTGTGTGTGTGTGTGTGTGTGTGTGTGTGTGTGTGTGTGTTGATGAAGTGCACGTCCTTTTAGAGAAAGTTGTCTGTGTTTTGTGCTGACACTCATTGTGTGTGTACTTGTGTGRATTCTACAGTATGAGTCATCAGGTCTGGGCCTTATCAGCAGCAGACTGAGAACCACACTGAACCGGATCCAGGAGAGCCTCATTGACATGGTAGGACAGCAACTGTCTGTTCCTCTCCACTTTCTACTTCACCTTCTCTTCTGCTCGTTGTCTTTCCCTTACCTGTACTCGTTACCTGGCTGCCTGTCAGGCACAAACATGCTCTGTGGATCTATATTTCCTGTCTTTATGATCCTCTTTGTGCCCCTCCTGCCCACTTTATCAATTCTGACCCGTTCTGTATGCTGTTGTTGAAAGAACCCACGGCCGGTGTCACCTCAAAATGCATTACATGTCATTATCGGGCCAGTGGTCACCTCCTCCCTAACACTCATAAGCATGCTCCCTGTCTATATTTGGGAAGACCTTGTGTGTTATTCCATTAGGGCTCTCAATCACTGTTCCCTTCTGTATAACGTGACAATCAGAGTACACACTGTTCAACTATCTTTGTCTCTTGGTTTCATTTTGTACAGTTACATTATGGTACAGGTGTCCTTTCTCTCCTCTGCCACATCAGTCCTTTTTTCTTTTATTAATAAATTCACAACTAGACTTAAAAGTGTCTGTGACATACAGTATACATCTTTTGAAAACAAGTCTAAGAAAACATCTTTTTATTTAGGAAACTTGGCGTAACACACATGGTTTTACCCATATTGTCACATAACTTGCATATTTTTACTTTGAAGTTGGCTCAACCAAAATGTAACAGGAAGTGACATCAAAGGGGAACTCTTTAAGTAAATGAACTCCATGGTCTTTGTTTAATGAAACAATATTATTTGAGCTCTGACTCTTCTTCAACATGTTAATGTTATCTTTCCAAAAATACATTCATATTTATTACAAAAAATGGATGTCACAGGCACTTAAATCTGAACACCACACTTAATTTAGTCCAATGAAATGAAACAAAAGCATCATTATGCTGATTTGCTTTTATTGTTTTAGTGAGAAGGAAAAAAACAGGTTTTGTTTAATTATAGTTAAAGTGTCAGTGACTGCTGGTTACAAAATGTTATTAGTTATTAACTCTGTTTATTATTGAGCTGCTCTTTTAATTTCTGACTGTTATAAATTGCACAGCCCCTGCTGCTGTTTTGGAAATATTTAGAAGCAAATTAAATTAACTTCATAAAAATAAATTTGTGTCTAATTGTATCACATTTCTATCATGTGATGCTAACTATGGCACACGGTTCTCATTCAGCTCTCAGATTGAAAAGTTGTTTCCCTTTTCCAGGGGGAACATCTTAAAAGATAGCATTTTTAATAAGCTTAAAATAATTTAAACAAACTAAACAAATAGATTCATCATGTTCTGGATGACTTAGAATCTACACCAGCACATTTTAACATTTCTCCTTTCCTGTGTACTGGTATATACTATTAAAACTACAGCATTTTTAATTTATACAGTAATTATCTTAACATTTTACTTAAGAAAACTTAGTTTTAAACATAAATTTATAGTTACCAGAAAACTACATCTTTGTGTTCTAATTAATTTAGCACATTTTGGGGGGGAAATGTTTAGAAAATACACACTCACACATAAATTGCTTTTAGAAAAGAACCCAGAGAACACTCGGGGATTACGTGTCGTCTTGACTTCCAGTAATCAATCTTCCTGTGATAAAGCCACAATAATTCATGTTGCTTGTAGCTTTCTAATTTGAGTCAGRACTCGCAGAAAGCTGTTTCTGCTCAGAGTTAGACTCAAATAATATTCCTGCTCGGACTAAGCTGTGGTGGTCTCTTTTTAAAGTTAATATTTTTGTAACTGCRAAAGGTTTTCAACACGGTTCTGCTTCTTATTGAGGTTTTGAAAACACGTTGTTTTCCTCTTGTAGTGTGTTCTTGACATTCGGGGTCAGAAATAAGGCTTTTCCTGTTTGTGTTGTCCACTGTTGCTTCTTTTTTTTCTCCAGAGAAGGAAGGAATCATATTGAGCACAGATGTAATTTGTACTGCAGTAAACTGTAATAAACTGTATATGAAGCCTTTATGCTTGTACCATTRCTTCAAACATTCTTTTTGTTTGTTTTGAAAATTTGTTGTGATTGGACTGTTTCTACTTGAGCCTACATTCAGTGTGCAGCATCATCTGCAGAGGCTGAGTTCAGGATGTTATTTAAGTCATTCTTGGTTGTATACCCATATTTCTTTTCTCTGCAGGGGGTGGGGGTTGCATACGTAAGCTAATGCTACCCCCTTTAACCTGGGGAATGATTGATCTTTTTAACAAATGATTGTTTTCTCCCGTCTTTGGTTTGTTTCTGTGCCACGATGAGTTTTCAGACGAGGTTGTTGATTTGAGGTTGTTCAGTTTTGAACAAAATATTAAATTTTTTGCTTTAAGGTTGTGAAGCAGAACAGAAAGAACTTCCACTTTTTGTCTCAGAATTTTCTTCAGTTCACAAGTTTTGATTTTAAGCAACCATTATAAATTTAAAAAATATAATATCAAACCTTTCTGCACTCATGAGTGTAATTTGACCTTTTACACCACAGGCCAAGTTAAATAAACAAACTGTCTTGCTTACTTATATTAAAACTTTCCTTCAGCTTCTTATTAGTGGAGCTGGCCACCACCATTTTAAATTAAGTTAAGTTTAGTTTGCATAATGCATCCTGTCAGGAGACATAATTAGCAGCTATTCTGCTACCCATCAGTGTTAATCTCTTCATTATGCTGTATAGCAAACCAGAAAAAAATATAGCTTTAAAGATTTCTTAGAAGAAAACCAAGGGTTGCAGCTATTAAACATTTTAGGAAACAAATATTCTAATGAATAATTGATTAATCCATTGATTTTCCCTGATTCCTGAGATTATTCTTAGATTACTGAGTATTCAGATATACATGTACTATAACCTAGCTCCAAACATTTTTCTTGGGCATCCCATACTTATATTAAAGACTACATCCTACCTCTTTGCCATTAAACTTGTGTGTGCATGTGTGCACAAATATATACCAACAATAAAAAACAGTATTTTATTGTTTTATTTTATTTGTGTCCTCCTGGACCCTAAATCACAGGAACGGCAGGTGAGCTCCTCATCACGGCTCATTTAATTTAGCTTWTATACTGAAAATTTAACAGTCCACCAACTTATTTATTTTACATGTTATCAGTAAAATGTGATTTAATTTCCTCTCAGTGCTTGGTGCAAATCTGGGCATAAAGACACATTCACAAAGCCACTGGATTGTTTCATCTTCTGCAAGTTGATGTGCATCTTTACTTTATTCTCACAGTAGTACAATTAAATGCTTGATTGGAAATGTCTCCATTATTAACACATTAATATGTGTTTTTACTAAGTTGTTTTCTGCTCTTGTAAAGCAATTTAGTTTTAAAAAACACTGTACAGGCTTTTTCCTGTACTTAATATTTTTGGTATTTTCATCTAATTTTTTGCTTGCTATCATCTTTCTTCTTCTGCAGTATAATATGTAATGTAAACATAATCATCCTGTACAAGTGATGCCTGCTCCTGTGAAAACCACCAAGAACTAACATGATGTGGAACAAACTAAACATTAACTTTTTTGTAAATGAGGTAATAGTTACCTAATAAATAGTTTCAACCCTTTAACAAACCTTATGTTATGTTCAGACTGTAATAAGTAAATGTATTCACTTCATCTAACCTACTCTTTTACTATCCCAGAGCACGATAAATTATTAAAACTTTAAATTGCTCCTTTTTTTTCCCCCAGCGTGTGTTCTGCCATTAGAGACCCATTTAAGCCCAGGTAATTCGGAAGGTAAATTATGAGCCATTTTCAGATGTCACACAGGCTGCAGCTGACATGCTCAGTGTTCAGCACCCTCCTTTAGAGAATATGTGTACCCTCTGAACTGTTCAGCTGATCCAAATGGACTCAGATGGACGGACGGGCTTGATGGGGCGAGAGAGGAAGAAGGGAGGACAGTAATGCACCTAGACGTGTTCGAGTTTCTGCGGGTAGATGTTCTCTCTCAGAAAACTACGCGGCTGCTCTCSTGCATTTCACATGAGCACAATCATATCTCTTCATGTCTGATTAAGAGCAATTTCAAACCTCCTCAGAAGGAGGACACAGCCGGGTGTTGTAGCTACACCTGACCTTTCTCTGTAATGCATTACCGAATGCTTTTAGTGTTTTCCTTTTTCATATGCAAAACTATTTTAACTCATTTCAGTTCAATCCCATTTTATTTTACCCAATGCCATTACGCTCATGTTTCTCTCTCTTTCTTTACTTCATCTGCGCTCTGTGTTTGCACTCCACTGCAAAAAATGTGAGTATCAGGTATTCATACAGAGYACAGATGCTCTACCAACTGCATACAAATCCACACAGTCACACACTCCAGAGATTGTGACAAMGTAGACCTCATTTGTAAACATATTATAAAGTTAATTGCACGCTGCATGACAGCTGAGCTGCCGAGTCCATGTGGTTTTGTTCCCCTGATTTGCCGTCATAGCTCTTTGATTCCAGAGCCAATGTGCTGGTAATGACTCCGAGTCCCATATGAACGCCTGCAACATTTCATTTGATCCAGTCTCAGGTACGGAGCAACTACAGTTTTGATGGGGTCCTCCGCAGGGAAGAAGTAAAAGATCATCCAATAGTTTACGTGCTCGCTCTGTCTCCTGTTTTCTTGATTACCTTTCCGAAACCTTTTGGTTTTAATTTCACTCACTGTGGGCTTTTGATTATTTTTATGCAGATTGTTTACAGGCTGTGTGAAGTTTGGAAGAAACTTCTGGAGTAGAGAAGGCACTGAGTTCTGGTTTTTGAGTTAAACGTCATCACTGATTAAAATCTTGGCTTGGAAAATTCCTAAACCCTTCTGCAGTATTGCTTGAGGCGGGTTCTTTAGCCATGTTGAGACTGAATAATGCCGTAGACTCCATCTGTGGTCTTATTGACACTGCCAGAAAGTTCAGCCACGACAACTACTGAGAGCTGTTGCTGTAGGCAACGTGAAAACAGCTGACAAAGGCTGGCATTTGCAGCGAGGAGATAACAGAACCCTTTCCTGGTT